GTAAATAGGGAGGGATGGAGGGGTTGAAGGGAGGGCAGGGGAAGGGGGAAAAAATAAGAACCAAGGAGATTATGTAAAGGTGCAAATTTCCAATGAAGAATGTCATTATATTGTATACCTAAAATGTACCGATAAAACAAATATTTTTTTAAAAATACATTTTTGTTAGCCTCAAAAATATGATTTTTAAAATGTGTAAGACCAATACACTTGAGAACAAAAAATATTACTGAGAGATATTAATAAAAGAAAGGGCTGGAGATTTAGCTCAGTGGTGCCACAGGCTGCTTTGCAAGTACAAGGTCCTGAGTTTGATCCCTACTATCAAAAAAAGAGAGAGAGACAAAGTCTTTGTGAACTACAGGATTCAATATTATTAAGATTTCATTTTTCCTCAGATTGATCTATAGATTCAACATAATCCTAACCAAAATCCCAACAAGCGATTTTATAGAAATTGGTGATTCTATGATTTCATAGAAATGAAAGAAACCTAGACCAGCCAAAACAACTTGGAGAAAAGAATGAAGCAGGAGATTTATACTACAAGATTTCATAACTTACTATAAAGCTACAGTAATCATATAGTGTGGTATTGGTAGAAGGACAGACACGTAGGCCAATGGAACAGACCTATTCATTTACCTAGAAGAAACACAGGATAGTCTGTCATCCAAAAGAAAGGAAAGCATATGTCTATAGGAAGAAATGTACACCAACATTCTTCTCAGTTTTATTTGGAAGAGCCCCAAACTAGAAATAATCCAGACATTAACGGTGAAAAGATAATTTATGTTACAGCCATGGAATGGGATAATATTCAGCAATAAAAAAGTATGACCTCATGAAGCATGGTGTCACATGCATTGTAGGAAGCTGAGACAGGAGGATGGTTAAGTTCAGTCCCAGTCTGGCAAACTAAGCAACTTAGCAAGATCCTCTCTCAAAATTAAAAAGTTTTATAAAGTACTGGGGATATAGCTCAGTGTGAAGGTCCTGGGTTTAATCCCTAGTACTACAATAAAACAAAACGGAAAGTATGAACTAGTGATTAGTACAAGAATATGGATGCATCTTGAAATACACTGAGTGAAAAAAGGCAAGGGAGAGAGAAAAAATCTAAATGATTCCACTTACGTAAAGAACAAACCCCACCCCCACAATTTCATCTAAAATGACACAAATCAGTTGAGTGGTAGGGGGAGGGAATTTCAAGTACATTTTGGCAGTTGACAGAAATGTTCATTATTTTGATTGTGGTGATGGTTTTCACAAGTATATGTCAAGATCAAATTGTACACTTTATGTACCATTTACTGTACTTCAATAAAGCTGTAAAAATGTTTTTAATGGCATAAGGGTAAAAGATTACTTTGTGTAACCCTAATATCCTTCAAAATACTCACTGAATTGTTTTGGCTGAAGTCAATTCTAATAGAGTACTGTACAGGCAAGATTATTAAAATAATGAATTTTAAAAGCTGAATGACTTCTTCAGCAAAAATATACAAAAACCAATGAAATTATTACTTCAGATTCACGATATTTTTGATATGCTGATGGTTATTAATAAGTTCTTGGGAACAAGTGAATGTCTAGGGAAAGGACACTAGAAAAGAACAGTCATACCTTGATTTGTGCAAAGGGTCTTTCAAAACCTCCAACATAGAGAAGACCAATATTCTGAGGAAGTAACCTACAAGGGGAAAAAAGCATCGTTTATAAAGTACTTTTCCTTAAGTGTAAAGTTGTATAATAATCAAAATTTCTATAACAGATTTTGTGGAAAACTATCATGTAATTATTCTTGTCTTTTGTACTACGGAATAGTAAACAGCAAAGGAATAATTCTTATTTTCAGAAAATAATTAGTAAAATATTAAGAATAAAGACAAGAGTAGAAAATTAATATTTGTAATTCTAATAAAATTACTACATAGTACTAGGGAAAGAAGGAAAAGAAATAATGCATATATTTATAAGGATTCAACTGAAGAAATAGTCAATGTGTGTTCATACTATGTAGCACAGGAGATATATAAACCTAAATAATTCAGTTTCAAAAATCTAACAGTAAAACCTGACACATAAACAACCCTAACAAAAAACAGCTTCTGAGAAGAGTATAGTCATACCTTGGTATGCAAGTGCTTTGAAACTCATCAGATTTGGTACTTTACACATGCTGACATGAAAATGTTGTCCCAATGCTCATCATTTGTATGGTATTGGAAATGCATGATGAAACTTGTCAGGGTCAATTGCTCTGTGACTGGCTACCCTTTCCAGCCAGAGCATTTGTTTGGTACTCTTCATTTTGGATACTCATGCCTCCTGGTCTGGAACCAAGTAATGACAAGGACCCAAGTACCACTGTATAATAACAGAATATTTGCCATTGGAAGTCAGTGGGGTAATAGGTACTTGCTATAGAGCTATCTGATAAAGTTGAATAGATGGGAATTGGACTTAACCTTAAAGAGCTAATAACACAAAGGGAAAAATTTAAAATCCTGAGAATACGAAAGATCCAAAAATAGACAAGAGTAGACAAACATGGCTACAATAAAGAATAATTTAGAGAAGAGGACCCTCCCCCCCAAATTTGGAATAGATAGTTAAGAATTTTGAATGCTATATATTTTCTTTTTAAAGAATTTGGAGTCATACTTAAATTTATTTGTTTGTTTGCAGTACTGGGGACTTAACCCAGGGCCACATGTATGCTAGGTAAGCAGTCTATCACTAAGCTACATCCACTGCCCTTGGACTCACATTTTTAAAAGATGTACTTACTTCATATAAAAAAAGAGTAAATGTACATGGAAATAAAAATCAAGCCATACAGACAAGATAAAAAATTTAAAAATAGTGGTTCCTAGATTTCCTGCATCATCTTGTCTTCCCCTTTCCACTTCTAAGATGTCTATCATTCTTTTTTATGGTACCGTCATTTGAATGCAGGGAGTGCTGAGCTACATCTCTATCCCCCTTTCCCCCTGTTTTAAAATTTTTATTTTGTGTGAGACAGGGCCTCACTAAATTGCCAAAGCTGGCCTCAGACTTGTTATTCTCATGCTTCAGCCTCTTGAATAGCTGGGATTACAGGTAAGCATCATATACCCAGCAAGAGGTATATAATCCTTGAATGCATTGAAACATTATGAATAAAGAAATATCACCTTCAGAACTGTGTTGTGAAATATGGTGGAGAGGAACTTGTACTTGTGCAGGCTAGTGCAACATACAAATATTCTTGTGTAAAATTAAGCTAAATATAGATATATCTCATTCTTCCTGTATCATAAATCTTTTCCTAACAGACAATATTACTAAATGGACACAATTTCAGTCTTAACATTAGGTAAATGAAAAGAAAAAAAAACTGCCTATATTACTTCCCCAAATCTCTAGGCCAAAACATTTCTCAGAGCCTGGATAGTTAACGTTAATAGCTATCTAGGGTAGATAACAGAACTCTAATGATGCATAGCTGTAAATTCCACTGGATGAATCTGGGAATGGAATATTAAACGGTGTCTAAAGTACAGAAAAAAATGCAAGCTCAAGTAGAAAATTTGTAGTGTACCATACTGGGCTAATCACAGAAAATTAGAAAATTCAAGATTATCATGTCTTTTAAAAATTTACTTAATGAATTGTTTACTTCAACAATTCTAGGACACACTTTCATTTATAACCTTCCCTGAAAATAGGATGTCTCTGGTACTCAGTGGTAATAGTTATGAGGTGGTTGTGTGATTACCTTCCATTAACATGAATTAGTAGGACCATGAAACCATAAACTCTCAAAGTAACTGAGATTCTATAAAATAATGCAGGTTTTCAGTCTCCTGGAAATGTACTCTATTCTCTACATTCTATAAGGGCCTATTAAGGCACTAAAAACCACTAACAATATGAATAGTGGATGAACGCAATCCTGAATTGAACTAATTTAGCAAAAAGTTTTTTATATTTAGAATGGATGTGATGACTTTTAATAATGTATTTCAACATACTGTCAATGGCATTTGTTTAGTGGATTAAAGTAGAAAGTAGAAGAAATGTCCCAAAATCTGAACAGTAAAATAAGGACTTTCTTAACCATCACTTGACAAATAATTAACCTAACAAAACTTTAAACCATAGTTGGTATTACAAACTTAAGTTCATTATAAGTAACAGCAGTAATTTATTTCCTATACTGTATAACAAATATTCACAAAAGCTTGAAAAATCCCCTTTAGAAGTAAGAATAATTACTGTTCATACAAATAGATGCTAAAAATGGAAGAGAATAAAAACTGGCTGACATTTAAAAATCAATATGCCTCTAATTGCTATGCATATGTACTTCAGGAAGCTTGCCAATATACTATTTTATGTGCTCCTCCCTCCAACTTGCCTATCTAATCACTACCTTTTCCTAAACAAATTTCTTAAATGTACCCGTTAACAATGTATGTACTGCACTTTTAAAATACTGTTCTAATTCATGTACCTATTATTCCATGCCATATATTATATTACTACCTTCATTTGAATAGATTTCAAAATGTATAACTTACAGGTTTGCGAGGCCTAAGACAATTAATACTTTGAGAACATAAATTCTTATTTTTAAAATGGAACATTTCTTGAAATGTTCTGCCTTTCAAAAAATTATTTTGCCAAACTGTTACATAATAATTGCCAAGTATTAGGCAGCATTTTATCATGACAGGGTGCTTGTGTACAATATAGCAATCATATATTCTAAATTCCCAGAGTAAGGCATTAATTCTACATGATAGATACATTTATATGTATATTTTAAAAGAAATCCTGACTCATTTAAAACTAGGTAGTTGTTTTGGCCTTAAGTTAGAAGAACATTATCATAGCCTGTATAAAATTGCTAACAACCTCTAAAATATTTGCTTGTAACTAAATGCTTCCACAGTGTGCCACCAAAGAGGATGTTTTTGAAATGGTGCAATAAAGAGGCACTGTTGATGCAAAGTAAAATCTGTATCTTTTGAAACAGTCAAGACAGGCAAAACCAGCTTTGTTTCATATAGAATGCTAGTTGCTCTCTACTGAGCTATATGTCCAGTGTCTACCTATCCTTTCCTTAAAAAGTCTGAGACCAAGTCTCTATAAATTGCCCAGACTGGCCCTCAATTTGCCAGGTGTGTACAAGCATGCTGAGCTCTTACTGATCTTTTAAAACTGATAATGTAATATGAGAAAAGGAAAAACGTGGAAACAAAGTCTTTGGAAATAGGGAAGGGTGGAGGGGGTGAAGGGAGGGCAGGGGTATGGGGAAAAAAATAAGAACCACGATCCATCATGTAAAGGTACAGGATCCCAATGATGAGTGTAACTGTATTGTACACCTAAAATGTACCAATAAACTAAGTGGAAAAAAACCCTGATAATGTGAAAAAGGGGGCATATAGGCAATAGCAAAGGGGGGGACATCCTAAAAATAAATCCAGTAAACAAAAATTCAGTAATTAAAAAAAATTAATCTATCACCATAAAATTGGGTTTATTCAAGAATGACTTAACATTAAGCAACCTACCATTATAAGTTACCAAATGAAGGGAATAGAAGGAAAATATCATAATATTATCATGGCAGGAAAAGTAGTTGAAACAAATTAAATACCCTTATATACAAGTAAGTACTGCTAGCAAACAAAGAGAAGCCAACCTTTAAAATTCCATCTAAAGGAAATAAATAAATAACTGACCAATCTACACTTACTCGAGAGCCTTCCAATTTTAGACTAAGAAGAATACAAGGATGATTTCTATCATTATGTTTCTTTAACAATATACTACAAGTCCTGGCCAGTGCGATAGGAGCAAGAGAAAAAACGATATAAGAATTAGAAAGATAAAACAAACTACCTTAATTATAAATAAAATTTACACATACATGTACATGCATGCATGTGTGTACATATTCCCCTTATAATATACAGATAACTTATTACACTCAACTAGTGAGCAACTTTATCAAGATCAATTGGAATTTCTATACCAACAACAAGCAATTAAAAAGTAAAACTAAGAATGATTCAATTCAATAGCTGGGCATGGTAGCACATCCTATAATCCCAGCAATCCAGAGGCAGAGGCAAGAGGACTGCCATGAGTTCAACTACATAGCCAGACCCTGTTTTCAAAAAAAAAAAAAAAAGAATGATTCAAATCAAAGATTACAAAGAACCAAGCTAGAAATAAAATTAATAAAATTGAAAAGACTTCAATTCATAAAATTATCAAATAGTATTGAAAGAAATTTAACAAAACCTAAATAAGTCACATTATATCATGTCCATGAATAGAAAAATCTCAAAGTTAACACATAAAGTGACCTAAATCTGATCTATATATTGAATTCCATCTAAAAAATCCTGACAGGATTTGTCTGGGGAAAACCTTTTAAAATTCAATCAGAAATATACAAGGGAAAGCAAATGAGCAAAAATATAAAATATACTCCTAAAGAAGAACAAGGTAGGGGGATTTGCTACACTAGATATTTAATAAACTTTTCTTACCAAGCAACAAAGATAATGTGGTGTGGGATAAAACAGGAAAATAGGTCAGTAAAATCCACTACTGAACCTAGAAATAAAGCTAACACAGAAACTAACTAGATTTATAAAAAAGTGGCACCACAGAGCAGCAGAGAAAGGA